TCCCCCACGAGTGCAGGGGGACATTCTGCCATCTTGCCATGGGTTGCAGGGAAACTTCTGCTAGGGCACCTTCTTCCCCACCAACCACCAGCACAGCTCTTCACCTCCTCCAGCACAGCTCTTCTTTCCCTTCCAAGTGCTTCTCTGCTCAGGTGTTAGGTTGATTCTTTTGTATGTTAATCGCAGAGGCGCATCTATTGTCCCTCTAATGGCTGGTTTTGGAGCAGGAGGAGCTTCTCAGCTTCTTATGGGAGCCACTCCTGGGGCCCTTCCCCAGCTACCAAAATACCCACCAAACCAAACCAGAACACCAACTTTTTTTTTTTTTTAATAATCAGCCATAGATATTACCCCCCAAAGAATTTTATTTTTGTTTATCTCAAACTGATGTACTCATTATTTCCTTCTGGATTACATTCACATTCTAGAATGACCTGAAGGTTTCATCAAAATGTTCCTTCTGACTTTTATAGCAGTCCTAAAAAAACCAAACAACTTCCTTGTAACTTCCAAGCTGCACAATTAGCTTCTTCTCCCTTGACTGTTACGCTGCGATTTATTTTTTCTTTGTCATTCTTCAGTTTCAGAGTAACTTAAGGCTGCTCATAATGAAGATAATGATAAATGAAGTTTTTCTGTAAAATTTATGAAACTCTATCATAGATGTATCAGGAAATTACCAGAACACAATACCATTTTTATAACCTATTTTGATAAGTGACAACCTCCAACATAACTTATTTATAAGAACTACTGTGACTTGATGTTCAGGATCTCTCACTGACTTGTACATTACAAAAAAGGTAAGAGACTCGATACTCAACATGCCTGTAAGAAAATATCAATCACACCATTCAAGTGTATTCCCTTTTGGATTAGGGTTGGTCGTTTTGTTTCCCCCACCTTGTTCCTTCTTTTTGCCTTTCAGTTGTACTTCTATGAAAATTATGATGGAGAAAACCCAATGCTGAATTACTTGAAATACAATTACTTTTACCTATTACGAACCATTAAAGATTTGCCCCTTACTCTCTTTTTTATTTCAACCAACAACACAATTTTACCTCCACAGAATCAGCTAGCTTTTCTATAGGATTACATGATGGTGCACTTAGAAACACCTTTCATTCGGCTACCGAATTTCCTCTGGCATCTGCAAAAATTCAGGACAAGAGGTTCTAAAGCACTTTCAGAGCATGTATGGAGGCAACTACATTTTTGAAACAGTGTATTCCTTTTTAATTGAAACTGTTTATGCTGATCCTTTCCCAGCACTGACTTAAAGAGGAAAAATTTAGTAAATACTCCACAGAGTTTATATTTGCATGATGCTTTCAAAAAACATTTTGATATGCAAAATTGGTTTTGTTTCTCCAGTAGCAGCCCAGTTATCTCATTTTTAATGTAATTGCAGATTAAATACACTAATTTTCCAAGTAGCTAGTATGAGCCAATTTTATTTTTCTTTAAATGAAAGAAGAAATGGGACTGGATAATGAGGAATAAATAGAAGGCTTTCCATCCTGCCCTTCCTTTGTGTATTCTCTTATCTGACATCCTTCACTAGCCCATTGCAGGCTTTATGGATTTCCATACATATATATATATATATATATCCCCCTCATTCACATCTTCAGTAACTCCACATTGGTAACCTATTTATTACTGGGACTGTTGATTTGGAACTAGCATAACAGCACTGTAAATTAAGGAAAATAACAAAATCATTGAAAAATAATATATTGAAAAATAATATATTTTATTAACAAGCCAAATCAACAGCTCAACTTTGTTCAACCTGCTTCCAGCTCCACGCTTTGTCTGCCACTCCTTCGCACTACCCCTGCTTCCATCTTCTTTCCCAGGACTCTCTTTTCTGCTTTAAAACTAGCATAGTCAGAGAAACAGATCTAAATTGGCCAATGTTACACATCATGCTCTGTATATAGATGAGAGTTGGCCAATAAGTTCTCTTCCAGGATTGCAGTTTCAGAATTTGTCTCCTCCAGGATCACTAGCCTGGGACAGGCTGAGCATTGGTCAGCAGATGGTGAGCAATTGCACTGTACAGAACTTGTTTGTATATTTTAATTAGTATTATCATCATAATAATGAAAACTATTTTCATAATTATTGCATTTCAATTAAGTTGTTTTTATTTCAACCCATGGAGACTCTTTACCTTTACATTTCCATTTCTCTCCCCATCCTGCAGGGCAGGAAGGGACAACTCTCCACCACCAACTCTCCATGGGACAACTTGCCGCTGAAGCCAACTCAATGCTGGGACAAGTCTCTGCCAATCCACAGAGAATTGCTCCCACGGAGGGATCTCAGCATAGAGGTGTCCACAGCAAGATGTCCCAAGTCGGTGGCAGAGAGTTTTCCTAGGCCCCCTGCAGGGGGGGGGGGAAGGGGAGAGTGAGCAATCAACTGCATGGTATTTAGCTGCCTGCCAAGTTAAAACCACAACAAAAGACTACCCAGAGCTAGCAGGGAGGGTCAGTAAACATTCAAGCATACTTGGAAAGTGGAGCTCAAGTCAAAGTCATTTGTAAGCCACAGCCTTACAGATGCATTCATTAATAAATAATCTGTGAATTTTCTACCTCTGGTCCAGTCTCCTCAAGATTTTCTTGTATGCCTTCTTTCCTTAGTTAACCATATTGCTTCTGCAATACTTGTGACAACATACTCTGCCCTCCGCTACCATATAACAAACAACAATAAAAAGTTTTTTCAAATACATTAATGGCAAAAAGCAGTGCAGAAACAACATGGGTCCTTTACAGGATAAGGATGGTCACCTCACCAACAGGGATACAGACAAAGCAGAGGTATTTATGCATTCTTTGCCTCTGTCTTCAACACTGATGATGGGCCAAGGGGGCCTCAACACCCAGAACTGGAGGACCATGACTGCAACGAGGATCAACTCTTAGCTGACCCTGAACCTGTGCAGGATTTGCTGGTACAGTTAGATCCCTACAAGTCCATGGGGCCTGATGGGATCCATCCAAGGATTCTCAAAGAGCTGGCTGATGTCATTGCTGGGCCTCTATGATTTTTGCAAGGTCCAATTGACTGGAAACTGGCTAATGTTGTTCCAATATTCAAGAAGGGCAAGAAGGAGGACCCTGGAAACTACAGGCCAGTCAGTCTAACTTCAGTGCCTGGTAAAATTATGGAAAAGAATATTCTGGGACATATTGAAAAACACCTGTAGGACAACACAGTCATCAGTCACAGCCAGCACAGCTTCATGAAGGCAAGGTCCTGCTTGTTAAATTAATTTTTATGACAAGGTAACCCACCTAGTTGATCAAGGGAAGCCAGTGGATGCAATATTTCTGGACTTCAGCAAGGCTTTTGATACTGTCTCTCACAGTATTCTCTTAGACAAAATGTCCAGCACACAGCTGGACAAGCAAACCATACAATAGGTGAACAACCGGCTCACAGGTTAAGCACAAAGAGTGACAGTGAATGGGGTAACATCAGGCTGGCAACCAGTCACTAGTGGGGTGCCTCAGGGCTCCATCCTAGGCCCAGTCCTCTTCAACATCTTCATCAATGACTTGGACACAGGACTCAAAGGAATTCTAAGCAAGTTTGCTGATGATGTAAAACTGGGAGGATCTGTTGACTCCCTCGAGGGCAGGCAGGCCCTGCAGAGACCTTGACAAGTCACCAACCACATGAAGTGGTGGATTCTGCACCTGGGACAGGGCAATCCTGGTGGTAAGTACAGACTAGGGAATGAGTAGTCAGAGAGCAGTGTGGTAGAGAGGGATCTGGAGGTTCTGGTTGATGGCAAACTGAAGATGAGCCAGCAGTGTGCCCAGGCAGCCAGGAGGGCCAACCGTGTCCTGGAGTGCATCAAGCAGAGTGTTGCCAACCAGTCAAGGGAGGCGATTGTCCCACTCTACTCTGCACTGGTGCGGCCTCACCTTGTGTACTGCATGCAATTTTGGGCACCACAAGATAAAAAAAAAGACATCAAGCTATTGGACGGTGAAGGGTCTGGAAGGGATGACTTATGAGGAGTGGCTAAGGTCACTTGGATTATTCAGCTTGGAGGAGAGGAAGCTGAGGGGTGACCTCATTGCAGTCTGTGGCTTCCTCATGATTGGAAGAGATGAGGCAGGTCCTGATCTCTTCACTCCTGTGATCAATGATAGGACTGGGTGAAATGGCAGGAAACTGAATCAGGGGAGGTTTAGGTTGGATATCAAGAGAAGGTTTTTCACCCAGAGGGTGGTTGAGCACTGGAACCAGCTCCTCAGGGAAGTGTTCACAGCTTCAAGCCTGCCCGAGTTCAAGAAGAGTTTGGATGATGCTCTCAGGCACATGGGGTGATTCTTGGGGCATCCTACACAGGGACAGGAGTTGGACTCGAAGATCCTGATGGGTCCCTTCCAACTCACCATATTCTATGATACTATGTACAGTATTAGTATTCCTAGGTGAATTTTCAAGTCATTAGGTGTCATTCTAATTCATTATCTGATAAACACTTAAAAACAACTACCATGAGTGAAATTAAAAGGTGCATTTCTGTTTGCACTATAGCACCAAGAAGTCATTTCAAAAGAAATTCATTGGAAAGATTCCATAACTTGGCAAAAGAGCTCCGTTTCAATAACCATTAATATACATGGTGCCACTCTCCCACACTGGACTAGAAGACACTCAGAGTAACAAGACAGATGCCTAATAAGCGCTCCTAAACTCTGAGCCTGTTCTTGACTTCTCCGGTTAAGTGGAAAATGTTTAGAAAGCTGAATCTTAAGAGGTTCACAGCAGAGTTCAACAGAGCACACACTGGCCTCTAATGTGTCTTTTCCTTCCACCCTTAACACAGGGGTTGATGATCTAAGTAGGCTTCAGCAATAAAGAGATCAGAAGAGTTTTTTTTTTTTTAACCCCAGCAAAAGATATCTCTATCACTTGGTGGTTCCCAAACATGTACAATAACATATATTAATTTCTCCATCCTGACACAGGGTATCACTTTCTCTTAATCTTGACACAGTATATGGAAAGCAGCAAGGTATCCTGTTTTCCCAATATCAGACAAACATGTCACATTCTTAATTTCTGAATCACCATGAGACCACTGTTAAGCAGTTCCTTTCTAACTATGTCTGTCTCTTGCTTTAGCTGGGAATCAAAGAATGGTTTGAGTTGGAGGGGACCTTAAAGATAATGTAGCTCCAACCCCCCTGCATGGGCAGGGACACCTCCCACCAGCCCAGGTTGCTCCAAGCCCCATCCAACCTGCCCTTCAACACTTCCAGGGATGGGGCAGCCACAGCTTCTCTGGGCAAACTTCCATTGTCTCGCTGCCCTCACACTAAATAATTTCTTCCTAATGTCTAACCTAAATATCCCCTCTTCCAGTTTAATCCATTACTTCTTGTTCTCTCACTACAAGACCTAGTCAGAAGTCTCTCCCTAGCTTTCCTATAGGCCCTTCAGGTACTGGAAGGCCACTATGAGGTTTCCCTGGAGCATACCCCTCCACATTGGGGGGGGAAGTTGCAGAAGCATCCTGACAGCCAGTACCTCTGTGACAGCATCGGCTCACAACAGCCATCCCAGTGTCACTGTGTGGATTCATATTTGCAAACTGTTTTTCTTTTCTTTTTCTACTTAGATATTCACACCCTACTGCCCAATGCCTGTGGACCAATCACTTTTAGTAGGACTTACACTCCTTAACTACATTAGGTGATCTCTTAAGCAGTATTTAAGACATCTAAACAGTTCTTCACATACAAGATTCTTCCAATAACTCTTCAAATCCCTTTGTCTCTCAAGAGATTGTTTCTACTAAAACAAATACATATATATGTATTTCAAATTGAATTCCCTTAATTCTAACTACAGTCATTCAGGCCACAGTTTGTACTCTGCATGTTAGTTGCAGTGAAGCTATAAAAATGAACTAACATCTGAGTCACATGAGATGCATTCACATTTTCAGAAGTTAACTGAACACTAACAGAATGGTTATTTTAACTGCAATTTGCTACAAGTCTTCATTCCAATCCTTCCACTTCTTGAAGCATCTTACCAGTTCCATCATCTGCATCATTCTGACCAGTCTCCCAAATCTCTGATTTTGTCCCAAAGCCATCAGTGGCAGAAGACTCCATATAGTCTGCAGGGTTAAATGTCCTGGAGTTTTAAAAATTAAAAAATGGAGGAGAATGCATGGATCATTCAATGAACACAAGTGTAATCATTTTTAGCTGGAGTTGTATTAGATTTAACATCTTGATTTCCACAGAATTTATCTTGATAGTTTTGGTTTCAAAATAAATTTTTCCTCTATGAGCAGACAGATTAAAAAGTGAGAAAAGAGGAGAAAAAACTGAGGAGATTAAAAAAAAAAAAATGCAAAGAAACTGATCCAAAACAACAATTCCTGAAAAAGCAGTTAACAGAATACCTACTCTTCCCAGTCTTATAAAGCATTAGTTTATATGCACAATGATAAGTCCCTCTCAGCTGATAGTTTCTCAGTAGGTGGCTGACTGATGAGAAACCAGTATTATAACCTTTCAGAGCATCAGACTTGTGCAAGACAGGAGTCGGATCATCAGTAATATTATTTCAGAATGCACTCCTGACACCAGTGCCAAAATACACAGAAGCAGCTAAAAGGTGAAAAAGGATTATGGAAGAAAAACCTCTTTTCAGTTTATCATCTAGAAGTATGAACAAGAAGGATTATTAGAGAATTAGAATGAGCCTTTTGTTATAACATCACTGATTATCCTGGTTTGAGCCAGGATGAAGCCAATTTTCTTTCTACTGATTTTTTTTTCTTCTTCAGTGAACTCTCTTTTAAGCAGCACACTTGCTGCAATTAACAGCAAGTTTTCCAGCTAGTGGACTGATAATGCTCAAATGGTTATAGTTACTGCTGAGAGACCAAGGACACTGCTCTGCTCGTTGAATCTACTGCTTTAGACACTAAAGGAGCAAAAGAGTCATATCGACAACCTTCCTGTAGGGGGGAGCAGACTAGACAGATGGCCAAATTGGCCAAACATATTATTCCATCCCATACATATCCCTCTCAGTATAAAGTCAGGGATCACGGCAGTCAAGACCACCTTCTTCCTTCTCTTCCATCCATGGCCAGCGTCCAGGGAGGACTCCATCTATCCATCTCCTTTGATACCTATGCCTGTGCGTTCCTACCCTTCGTATTTCCACCCTCGTCTTCTGTTTGCTCTGCTGCTATCTTCAGATGTGGTCCAGGACCTTCTTGGGACTGCCCCAGCCAAGGGAAGCATACTGGGAGTTGCTGGGGGTGGGGGGAGGCAATAAGGTTTTGCACATTCCTGCATACATACTTGTATGTATTTGTACAAAGTTTCTTTTATCATTAGTATTTAATTAAAGCTGTCTAGTTTAGTTTTCAATCTGAAAGCCTCTCTCCTTATTCTCTCTCTCCTTTCCCTAACCTACCTGGGTGGGAGGGGATAGAGAACATTATTGTCATTGCTTTAATAATTGATCCTAAGTCAAACCATGACACTGATATTACATGAAATGTCATTAAAGGCAAACACTGAGTGAAAGGAGTGGAGGCTACACTTCTCTGAAGCAAGTTATTCCAAGAAAACTGAGCTTTAGAGCTCCTGAGTAACTTCTTTTAATTCTGTTTTATGGTCAATGTATATCCAAACAGCTAAAGCATGAAACCTCAAAAACAGGAAGAACGTTTATAATTGCTAGTCTCTGGTTTTATATAGAACTTGCATATTCTACATTACACTAAAACAATCTTTTTTTGTTAAACTGACCTAGCACCACACAGAACTTTCAGCCTCCTAGGCAGTATGTGGCTGCTACTGGTACAAATGGGTTCGCCAAGTCTGAGATATTAATATTGAGTGAACTTATATTGGGCTTATATTGGTGTGTCTAGTTGAAAATACTGGTTTAAGACAAAAACAATCCATTAATCATCGAACAGATCTGTGAATTTTTGCATCCGTATTGGTTTATCAAGCATACAGCAATATTAGTACATACAGTGGCAATATTAATTGACAATATTAATATTGCCACTGAGTTTGATCCTTGCCAAAATCTGTGCTCTGCATGTTTCTTACCCCATGCCTTGGGCTGAAAACCTCCCCGCTCCTCTCCCTCTGCCGCGTCCAAACCCTAGGAGAGAAAACACCATTTAACAGCAACAGCAGAGGAGCTGTCAATCACTAGACTGTCACATCAGAAAATATTATGGTTGAAGAAGAAAACTACCACAGTTAAAGTTTTCATATCCTTTACTTCTCAAATTTCCTCACAGGAAATTTTCACCTAACATATGCAAATAAGCCACAGTACATCTGTGAAGGACCAGGTATTTCCTTACACGAACATGAAATGTCCTTTGAGTCAGCCGACAAAACTGACTTAAAACGGTGTCTCCACGCTGCGCTGAACCCCCTCTGTGTGTATGGGGGGGGGAGCAGCT